ACAAGAGTGTATTTTTATATTTTTAAAAAATATTAATTTTAAATTCAAAACTAAAAAAATAAAAAGTAAATTATTCTAAAATAATCTCACCTTTCATTTATTTGCAAAAAACAGGCATTTTCAAAAACTTCCATTAAGTGGCCGTTAGTTTTTTAATGGCGACCCAAAACTCGCACAAATGCGAAAAGGTTGGATTATTTCCGGTGACAGTGAAAAGTGGGATTATTTTTGAAAGAGCGCGGAAAGGTGGGATTATTTGAAATAATTTTTCCTTGTTTCAATAACATTTACTTGAGTGGATGATTATGGAAAGAGTAAGCACCTTACGAAACGATGTAATCGTTGAATTCCTAGACTCTCCGTCTCGTTGAAGCAATGCATCGAACACATAGCGTGCATCGCTCAAACACTATAGATGCCAAAACCAATTTCATTTTTTAACTAAAAGATCACACATATATCTAAGTAAATTGTTAAAGTTCTGTGGGAATTGTTCTAAATCCAGGAACAATCCAAGTATAAATTAGAATAGAAAGGAGAAGACCAGTAGATCTAAGATATACCTCGACGAAGACCCGTAGTTGTACTAAGAGCAGTTGGTGGTCTTGCCCGCCCAATCACCTTTGTCGCCAAAATCCTTCGCCGGGAAACTCTGGCCAACTCGATCATCGTCATCATCGAACAAGCCAAAACGCAATTGACTCGTAGAAGTTAGAATACAGAGTTTAATCTTGGATTTAGACGGATTGTATTTTTGTTTTGAGCAATGCTAGGGTAGTGGCAAGAATTTTTAAAAAAAATAAATAAATAAAGAGTAGATAAAAATGGGCAGTGGAAGAGAGTTTGGGGGACAAATGAGGCACACCAAAGGTGTACCCCTACCATTTTTCTTTTGTTTTTGATGAGAGTAGTTTTATGCAAGTGGGAATACACATTTTAAATAAATCATTAACTTGTTTTTTGGGACAAGTAGGGAAAGTATTAGAGGAATGCTAGGGGTACACCAAATGGTGTACCCCATTTGTCCCCACCCATTTTTCCATCATACAATTTTTTTTATTTTTATTTGTTTAATTTTTTGTTATTTTCTTGTCTTTTTTTGTGGTGATGGAGGGGGTGGGGGACAAATGGGGTACACCTTTAGTGTACCCCTAGCATTTTTCAAAGTATTAATATTGTTTATATTCATAATGAGTATTTTATTATTAAAAAGAAAAAAAAATTGGTCACTGGAAATAAAAGTATTTAACCACGGTATTTTTGAAATTAAATCTAAAAACCCAATATTTTTATCCCCTTAAAACGATTTTGAAGAAAAATAGAAAATAAATTTTTTAAAAAATTCAAGGATGTCCAATTAAAAATCAAATCTAATTTGGATAAGTTTTTAATTCTAGAAATTGAATAAAAAAAATTAGGTGGAATGATTGAACACCATAGCCATGGCACCTTTTCATGGAAGATATCTTGCAGATTTAGTTTATTGAATTGAAACCTAAATACAAATGACAATGGAAGCTAACCTGAAGGAGACGGGTGATGAAGGCCATCGTCATCGACATCGCATCTGTTTAGATCTTCGATTTATGAATTGGAGATAAGAATGGGAGACATTGATATTAACTCTGAATAAAATATTTCATGGATCGTGTAAACCAAAAGCACCAAATTGGAGAGGAAAGCAATTACTTTGGAAGTCCAAAAGCACCGGATAAACTATTTCAATTCATTTAGTTTTCTCACTTAGATTACGTGTAAGCCAACTGTGTAAAAATGATCCACATGTACATGCCAAATGTCAAGCTCTGGTGCATTGAGTCTCCTTTATTATATAATAAAGGAAATAAAGGATTGTTGACCTCAATCTTCAAACAACAAGTCCTTAATTTTTCAAATTCTTTAATATAATAAAGGAGACTCGGATGCACAGAAATTCGACATTTGACATGTCTATGTGGCAAAATTTTAATATGTCAGCACGCCACGTAATATCCGAGTAAACCAGCGGAAATAAATTATATACGATGCACCAGCGAATCTCTTAGGGAAAACAATTGACCACATATTTTCTACGCGATAATCACTGGCCTTCAACTAAATTCTTTCCTTCATATTACAATAATGCAAATTCCTATTATGATGATAATATAAAATATTTAAAAAATAAAAATGAAAAAATATAAATACTATTTAAAAAATAAATATAATATTTTTCATTTAATTTAAATAGAATTTTAGGACCATGCTACATATATTAATCCTTTATCTTACTTTCATATTTAAAAAGTAGATACTTAAAGTAATAAGTTACAAAGGTTTATTGTGGAAATTTGTGTATAATAAGATTTAAAATCAATAGAGTACCTATATTAATGGAAATTAGAATATTATTTTTTACAAAAAAGATTATTAAAAAACAATCCTAAATAATACTAAATTTGAAAATGATGATCATGAGTATATTACTCATCACCTTACTTATATTATGTATTTTGGATAATACTAATATTATTTTGGATCCATTTACTTTTATATGGAAATCCTTAATTATGTGTCTTGCATAATCAATAATATTATATGTTAATATATATTTTCAGATTACAATTATACGAACTCCTATTACAAGGATAATGTAAAAAATTAAAAATAAATACGAAAAAAATATAAATACTATTTAAAAAATAAAAACGAAATATAAAAAATTTTCATTTAACTTAAATGGAATTTTAGAACCATGCTACATGTATTAATCCTTCATCTTACTTTCATGTTTATAAATTTCATACTTAAATTAATAAGTGAAAAAGATTTATTAATGGAAATTCATGTATATATAGGTTGAAATCAACAAAGTACCTATACTAAATTTACGGAAAATCTTATTAAGAAACAATCCTAAATCATTATCATCATTATCTTTTATCTTTTATATATTATATTTGGGAGTTTAACTCCCAGAATTTTGACATTTGTCATGCTAACGAGGATTTTTTTGACACTTCATAAGCCATGTCATCATATTGGACTTACTCAATATTTCAAACGGGTTGGATAATGATTCATTACTTTGGGCTTCTTTCATTTGGGCTACTTTCCTTGGATTGCACCTCCCTGCGATATTAATCTTTGAATGGCTCCACCGCGAGATTTCAGAGAATATGTGATTGGAATTAATCTCTTTCCTTCTTCACGGAGATTCTAACGCTCGGTAACAAGAATAGGAAACTTTCCCTTTTTTTAAAAAAATCATAATTTTTTTGGGATGATTGGCATTCTTTCCTTCTTTTGATGATTATCTCTGCGAAATTTAATTTGTTCTTCTTTCGAATTTTCCGGTTCAAATCTCTAGATTTTCTACCCTTATTGCTGTAAGTTTCCTTCTTGCGATTTATAATAGGTCATATATAAATCAAATTTTAAGTAAGCCATTTCATCAATCTATTTTTTCATTGTAAGCCGCGTTCATACCTAAAATCTCTGATTAATTGATGTCTTCCAAACCAATCTACCCTTTGTTGAAGATCAATCCATCTAGTGAATGCTGGAGAGTTTAGATTCGTGTGATTTGACTGTACGAGATGCCAGTGTATAATGATGAGAAGATGAGGAATTCGATTGAGATGATATTCACAAACGAACATGTAAGAATTGTACTCTTATTCATATTTTGCATACAAAATAAAATTTATGTTTAATAGGGTTTCTTATAATTTTTAGTGGCTGGAAGGTTATTTTGCTTTTACTTTCAAAACACAATTATATTAATCTGTATAAAAAACCAAAATTCTTCAATTGCCCATATTGAATAAATAAATGAAGAGTGATAGAGACACGTAAGATTTTTCTGATTGGATAATCAAAGTTGGAGATGGAAAGCTTGGACAAGTGATTGATGGAATTACTGACGTTGAAATTCCTCTCAAATTTTTGATTATAGGTAACAACTTACCCCTCAAAATTATAGCGGACTTTACTTATCTGAACTTATTGAAGAATATGAGAAGTTATTCTTTTTTTGAAAACAGGGCACTACTAGCACCCACGCTTGAAGTTGTAGAAATAGTAAATTAATTTGTCTTATCCCTCATTCCCAGAGATGAAATAGTCTACTTGAGTTCTGATTCATCATGCCAAGCAGATTAAGATGTAGGTGTTGATGGCGACTGGATAACAGTTGAGTTTTTGAATGAAATCAAATATTCGGGAATCCCAAACCACAAGATAGTTTTAAAAAAAGGGGTACCAATTATGTTAATGAGAAACATTGACCAAACATCTGGATTGTGTAATGGTACAAGATTAATTGTTGACGAGATGCGAAAGAATTTTATTGGTGCTAATGTGGTTTCGGGAAATCGAGTGGGCGAAAAAGTTTACACACCCCGGATGAATTTGGTACCGTCTGATCCAGAACTACTTCTAAAGTTCCAGAGAATACAATTTCCAATAGTCTTATGTTTTACTATGACTATTAAAAAAAATTCAAAGTCAAACATTGTCATTTTTTGGATTATTTTTAACCAAGTCAGTGTTCACTCATGATCAGTTTTATATTGCTGTTTCGCAAGTGAGACAAAGACCTGATTAAAAATATTAGTCTTAGATGACAATGGAAATCCTTATAGCTATACAAAAAATGTTGTATACCCTGAAATCTTTCAAAAAATTTAGTATTAAAGCAAACTTTGTTGTGTGTAGATTCAATTCCTCAAATATTATTCTTTTTACTTTGTCTTTCCTTTCTGTGTTATTATAAATCATGCATGAGGTATATTTCCTTTATTTCAAAAAAAATATTACATTGAATAAATTCAGAATCGACAAGATATTCATCCGAACCCGTGCATTGCACGAGTAGAAATACTAGTATAGAATATTTGAGAGTTAAAACTATGAGAAGTTGACATTTGGCACTTTGAGAACATGCCGATTGGCACTTTTTAAAGCTGCAGTGATTGACACGTAATCCATGCGTTTCTCAACCTTTGTCCACTAATTCACTGAAGAAACTTTCTAAAGTTACCAAGGAGCCAATTACTCAATCTCTTCTTCACAATTCACAAGGAAAGTATCTAACATACCAAAATTGAGAGATCCGTGTGGATTCCGTGCGCTGATCTCTCTTGATTTCGTCAGAGCAGGACCTCTTCACTGGCTGAGAAACCCAAGAAAAGTCTCAGAAATTGCATTCATAATTCCGATCGGAATTTTTCTTCGATGCAAGAATCCTATAAATTGGTTTGTTTCCTAAATTTATAGAAAATTGAAATTCAATTCGTATTCTCCTTAGTTTGTTTCGTAAACATTTTCTTTCAATTCATAAATTTGATTCCGATTCACAATTTCTAAAATTTGTTTTTGGTGAATTCATGCTGTCTGATTAGACCAGATTTGTTTCTTTCTTCTGTGCAGGTCAACTTCATGCCCTTCATCTATCAGCGCAGGTCAACTTCATTCTGTCTCAACCTCCTCAGATTAGCACCATATACATCAAAAGGTTTTCATCACTTCAAAAAGAAAAATATACATACAATAGAGTTTAGAATTCAGAGCCTCCAGCCTTTCAGTGCTATTTCTATGTGCTTTAAGTGTTCTTCCTTGATATTAATTACTCCTTATTTTATTCTCACACTTTTTGTGCAGTTATAATGTCAGAACAAATTTCATAATTATATGTAATCTTATGGTTGATAATCTCAAAAATTAAGAAGCAAAGCTGTAATTATTGAGGCCATCACTGCCCATATGGTATTGACTGATGATGAGGTAATAGTTTGGAAAATTTGGGTTTTGACTTTAGTGTTTGATTATTTATTTATTGGTGTTGTTTAGTTTGAATCAGTTGAATCATTGTTTGTTTCTTCATTGTTATTTAGTTTGAATAAGTCGTTTTCCATGCAATAAGGATCTTAATTATATGTAACACGTAATTCATTTATCAAAATGACAACTAAGCTGTGTTCAACTGAAATAATTGATACTCCATATATATATATATTCATAGTCAGATGAATTTACCTAAATAACACTAAAACATAATGACTTTCCCTAAATAGCAACATATGATTTTTATTTCTCAATGTAGCACTTTTAGTCATTATCCATCAGTCATTATTTAGATAAATGTTCACCGTCACAGGATATTATTTCTCCTTCTAGACATTATTAAGTGTTATTTAAGGGATAAAAAGTTTAAGTTTTATATTGGAAAATAACTTTTATTTTTGAGCTATTTAGTGCAAATATGAAAAATGAAAAATATGAAAAAGTATATTGGGAAAAAGTTTGAAAAATGAAAAATTTGAAAAATAAAAATTTTGAAAAATGAAAAATGAAAAATTTGAAAAAGTTTAAGTATTAGATTTGGAAGTGACTTATGTTTGAGAATATGAAAAAGTATTCTTTTTTTGAGGACAGAGTACTATTGGAACCAACTCTTGAAGTAGTTGAAATGATAAAAGAATTTGTTTTGTCTCTCATTCCTAGTGATGAAAAGGAGTACTTGAGTTCTGATTCTTCGTGCCAAGCAGAAGCAGATGTAGGTGTTGGTGGCGATTGGATAACAGTTGAGTTTTTGAACGAAATCAAATGTTCGGGAATCCCAAACCACAAAATAGTCTTGAAAAAAGGGGTACCGATTATGCTATTGAGGAACATTGACCAAAATCTGGATTGTGTAATGGGACAAAATTAATCTTTCAAGAGATGCGAAATAATGTTATCGGTGCAATTGTGGTTTCGGAAAATCGAGTCGAGGAAAAAGTTTACATCCCTAGAATGAATTTGGTACCGTCTCATCTAGAGCTACCCTTGAAGTTCCAAAGAAGACAATTCCCGATCGCCTCATGTTTTGCTATGACTATCAACAAAAGTCAAGGCCAAACATTGTCATTTGTGGGATTTTTTTAACCAAGTCAATGTTCACACATGGTCAACTATATTATGCTATTTTATGAGTGAAGACAAGGATATGATTAAAAATATTAGTTCTAGATGACAATGGAAACCCTTACAATCATACCAAAAATGTTGTATACCCTGAAGTCTTTCAGAAAATTTGGTATTAAAATAAACATTGTTAACTCTACATTCTGTTCCTCAAATATTATTTATTTTACTTTGGCTTTTTTCATTTGTAGTATTAAAAATCATGTGAGCAATATATTTTCTTTATTCCGAAATTTTTTTTATTGAAATAATTAAGAATCGACATAAATTTCTTTCGACCCCGTGCATGGTATGGGTCAGAATCCTTTATCCTTTATATATTAAAAAGGAGAGTTGAGCTTCCAGAATTACGACATTTGGCACGCTGACTAGACAAATTTTTTAACACCTCCTCATCCATGTCAGCAAGAGTAATGAATGGAAGTTTCCTTATTAAAGTTCTTAGTATATATAATTACTATATTATTTTGAAAATAAAATTATATATTAAATTTTAAATGAGGAAAACTTTGGCAAAAATTTGGGCGATTGAATAACAATTGAGTTTTAAATGAAATCTAATATTCGAGAATCTCAAGCCATAAAATAGTTTTGAAAAAAGGCTACCAATTATATATGCTATTGAGAAATATTGACCAAATATCTAATCGTTGAAGAGCTACGAAATAATAATGTCCGTGCAATTGTGGTTTACATACCTAGAAATTGGCATCCCTACTCCAGAGTCCCGACATTCTCCTCTCCTTCCGCCCCTGCATTTGGGCGTCTGGCACGGGCGTCTAGCCGGTCAATCTCCATCTTTGTCTTATTCGAGCTCAGTCTTCTCTTCCTATTTTCAATCGCGTCTCAGTCTTCGCTCTCCATTAGCAATCGTGAAATTCAGGTTTTGGCATGGGTCTGAAATTCAAGCATCTATACTTTTTTGTCAATCTTGCAGGTCTGCTGATGGTGAATTGTGCATTTAGAAAACAGTGAAGCATCGAACAATTTCATTCCTTTGGTAGTTTTTTTTCTCTATTTTGATCATGCTAGTCCACATTTATCAAGCCTCGTAGTGTAAAAAATTCGGATTGGAATTTTTTTGAAAACCGAATTGGAATATTTGAGTATTAGCTAATATCTCCGAATAATAATTCGAACCAAACATGAATATTTTTTATGATTCGAATGAGAATCAAGTTCGAATTCAAATATATCCACATTATTTTGAAGAAATATTTGCACCAAATAGCATTAAAACTAAGTCATTTCATTAAATAGCACTTAGATTGTTTTCTTCTCTAAATAGCACTTAATAATGTCCAAAATGACCATTGGTGACAAACATTTACTTGAATAATGACTAATGGATAATGACTAAAAGTGCTATATTGGAAAAAAAACATATGTAGTGCTATTTAGGGAAAGTCATTATGTTTTAGTGCTATTTACGTAAATTCCTCTTTTTTGAATTTGGTTCGAATATATCAGTATTAGTTTCCGGGTTTCGGTTTGTATGCATCCTTACTGGCAGAGGGAGTTTTGGTTTGTATGCATCCCTACTGGCAGAGGGAAGGCAAAACATATGCGAGACAGATTGAAACATAATGTGAGACACATTATACAATCTGGAAAGCTAGAAATAATATATCCTTCTTGTTAGCTATGTCTCACAGCAGCATCATAGAGTTAGCTTTATTCCAACATACCAAGTTCTCTAATCCTAGCCCTCCTTTACTTTTAGGAAGGCAGACATCATCCCAACAAATCAAGGGGCTTCTTTTATAGGTTGCAGAAGTTGAGAAGCACTCCATAGAAAGTTCCTGCAAACATCTTGGATCGTTTTCATAACTTTGTTAGTGATAACAAAAAGTTTTGACCAGAAGAAAACAATTCCATAGAGAGTTGAGTTAATAAGCCTTGCCCTCCCTGCATAAAACAAGTGTTTTGTTGCCCAAGAAGTAATTCTTGTAGTGAGTTTCTCCACAAGCTTGTCACATTCTTTGTGGCTGATTCTCGCAGCTGAAATGGGGCCTCCAAGGTATCTAAATGGGAAATGTCCTTTAGGTATATGAGTATGCTTCATAATGTGATTCTCTTTCTCAGTGTTAAACTGTTAACTCCTGCGATAATAAATTGAGACTTGAACAAGAAATTATTTCTAGAATTACTGAAATTGATCTTATAATGTTTTTGATGTAGAATTTTTCAACTTTAAAAATTTATATAGTAATTTTGAATGTTAGTTCAAATAGTAATTTTTTGTTTATTTTTTACAGAGTATGAATAATTATAAACTAAATCACAGCTGAAGAGTCCGGGCCCCATATTTCAAGATTTGGTCATTGCCGGAACAATTTTGAAGCACGTTAGCAAAGATGCTTCTCTTTTTGAGGAAGGATTTGTTTTCTTTTGCTTCCCCTGAATCATATTCCTTCTCATCGCCGGTGTAAAACAAACAGATAGAATGATAGATATATTGACTCTGGCTCCCTTTATTTCTTCATTCAAACGGGAGACAAAGAAATGCTAGGGATTTCATATGGGGAGTTGTTTTTATTGCTCGGAGCTACTGCCGCTTTAATTGGTACTCTTCCTTCGTAAAAGACAGTTCACAGTGCATCTGTCTTTAGTTCACTTAATATTTCTACCAAGCTCTGATGTTTCTGTTTTCGATTCCAAAAACCTACCTCTTAGTATAATATTGTTAATTGAGTTGTTTGTATTTCCTCTGCTAGATATGCATTTGTTTCTCCTTCATGTGTTGAATTCTGTGGATGCTGAGCTAGGCTTTTAATAATTAATTTGTTAGGACCCAAGGACCTTCCTCTCATAGCAAGAACAGCTGGAAGGTTATCTGGTCGCGCTATTGGCTACGTTCAAATGGCTCGTGGTCAACTTGACAGTGTCATGCAGCAAACTCAAGCTCGTCAAGTTTATTTTTCTTTCTTTCGTTCTTTCCTTTGTTTAGTTGCTCTTCTATTAGCCTATATAATCGATCATCATTAGATATAGATGGATTACCCACACATGTTCTTCCCATTTCAAATTATTGTGTGTATGTTGATGATATTTTCTCTGAAGGTCCATAAAGAACTTCAAGATACAATTGCTCAATTAGAAGCCATACAACATGAAATCCGAACCATTTCTTTCATCAATCCTGGTCCATTAACTACAAGGCTAGTTGATAACATAAAAGACCACCGATCTGCTGCTGCTGCTGCTGGCACTGGTATCGTGGAAACTGGACCTGCAAAATCTAATAGTGAGGGCACACCTGTGACTATGACTCCCAAGGTTTTTACTACCTCCCTTTCTTTGCATGCTTTACTGTTTTCATACTCATCTTTTCGCAGGGAATGATTTGTTTATTCTTACTTGTAGGATTTTAATGATAAGGCCTCAACCTCTTCTGAAATACACAGCCAAGCAACTGCGTATGCAAAACTGGCTGAAATCACATCAGTGAACACCAAGTCTGAAAATAGTGAAGCTCTGGATGAGCTTACTGATGGATCTGGTAATCTTGTACTCCCAGTTTCTGCTAAAAGTGCAGGGCTGTTGCCTGATCATACAGGTAAACACCATCCATTGTTGTTTACTATGGTTTATATATATTTTATGGCCTAGGGGCTCTCTTTTCCCATGTTTATCCATTGTTGTTTACTATGGTTTATATATATTTTATGGCCTAGGGGCTCTCTTTTCCCATGTTTATCAATTTTTCAAAATATTTGAGACATTACTAATGTTCACCCCTTTTAAAATTGCTTTCTCAAGCTGATGCAAAGGGATCTGACATTGTCTTAGAAGCTATTATCGAGGCAGATGTGGCACAAAACGCAAAGAAGTTTTTCTCACAACCCCAAGACCAAATGAATTGTGAATAGAGGTACATAAGTGTGTGTGTGTGTCTGTGTGTATATTCATTGTAATAGTAGCTTTTTCTGATCAACTCTTTATGTGACAGTTATCATCTTCTTCAGTTTTGGAACGTGTTTTCATTTGCAAGACTTGGACAACTTATTTTATTCTTGATAAAATTAGTCACATACCCGAAATTTCTCATATTTGTTCCAAAAAATAGACACTTAACAATTAACATTGATTCATGCATATAATTGTGCTTTTACAAATAACAACAAAACCCAGTATAATCCCAACATCATTGGGGACTCAAGTTGCACACAGCCTTACCCCCATAATAAAAACAAAAAGAGAATGTTTTCGTTAGGACCTTGATGCATTGCTGTGTCTACCTCCAAGAACTATGTGTTGTCAATAGACACAACATACAGTTCTGCTTTTAAGAGGCAAATTCTGGGATTTCACATTTGACTAGAGTTTTCGCTCCTCATCCTGATGCATTCATGCTTTAATGTTATACGTCATTCTCCATTGCTTTGATAATTTGTTATTATTTTGTACTGGGTCCATTCCATAATGACTACTTAAATTGTTTTTGGTGCATTCTAGCTTAAGATAATATGTAAAAACCTTAGCCGTAAGCTAACCAAGAGCCCATGTTTAAGACTTCCCTAATTTTGTGAAGTGATCACAGAGGATCTCTGTTAGCTTACGGATATGAGTATAATATGTTCATTTGTACGATTGTGTATAATATGGACCAAAGTTTTAAAATACGGCTAAATATACGTTTCAAATGTTTGGAGTACATATACGGATACATTCGTGTTTTATACGTTTACTTCTTAAAAATATGGCTTATAATGTGTACACATGTTTTCAAGAAGAATGAAAGTTTAAACTTTAAATTTTGAACTTAAAAAAAGTATTAGTTCAATAGCCAGTAAACACAAATATAAAACAAAAACAGTTCCAAAGAAATAGATAGAGTTCATACTTAATAGTTCACGTGACACGCACCAACCACAGTAAGTAAAAAAAAGCTCAATCCTAACTCTCTAAGTATTATTCTGTAAACTCTTCGAAATTAGTTAATAAATGAAAGCATCATCATCATCAACAACATAAGTCACATAATTGCACTTTGTGGCCTGCTGCAGAATTTAATTCAAAATTCATGGATTTCTAGCCTCTGCAAAAGTAAAAGAAAAATTCAAATGAAATAACAGTTACTGTGATCAATCCCCTTCTTTGTATATACACACACATCTACAAACATATAACAGAAATGTATTCATTTCGAATCTAACCATGTTTCCAAGATTATGATTTTAAAAATGCGAAGATAGATCTAATCAATTAGACTACCCATACAGCATAATCTGTGGATAACCAAGTTGATGTTCAAACTTTGAAATACCCAAGGACTGCTACTGTATTGTACTGCTGTGCACTGTAATTACTGGAGTTCTGAAGCTGGACTACTGGACATGCGATGCACTGCCAGAATCGGACACTCGGACCTGCGAGCTGCAGCACTGCAGTATGCCAAGGCGGAGAAGTGAGAACTGAGAATGACTACGCTGGACGGTCGGGCCTGTTGTGTACTGAACGACCATGCTGTGATCTACGGGAGAAGAAGCTATCGGACAAAACATATGCGAAATTGGTAAGAAGATGGATAGATCAGGTGGAGAAAAATGAAAAAAATGGGGTTAAGCAAAGCAAAGTGTTTAAGAAGTGTTTAAAAATTAAAGGTAAAAGGTGAGTGGTTGGAATTTGATTAGAGGAAGAGAAAGATTGTGGACCACATATTCATTACTTAATCAGTAAAGTAAGAAGGCGAGACAATTATTTTGGGAGGGACTTAAAAGGAAAATGAGACGATTAATTTGGGATGGCGGGAGTATATGGGAGTATAAGACACACATTATACCTAGGGGTGTATTATACGTGTATTATACACAAATTTGCTTGTAGTGAGATAGCTTGGCAATGCTTGAATATAGCCGACCCCTAGTCTTCACTCTGCCTGAGATTCTGACTCTCTGGTCAGAGGATGAAGGTCTGCACCTCCTCTCATCAAATCTTCTTTGATGCTTGTTCGATTCTTCACCTGACTTTTCTTACTTAGTCTTGCCTTTTTTTTCTTTTTTCAGAGATGATTTCTAGGGAATAAAGTTTTAGGAAAGACGAGGGTGCTATGCGTTAGCGAAGCATAACTTTACCAAAAACAAAAGTCCGATCCAAGCAGAGGAATGGATGTCGCAATTCCCCAAAGTTTCTGCTCTGGGAAGCAGCAGAAATAGAGACTTGAATTGAAGTCTCTGTCTGTTCAAGAATTTATGAAGCAGGAGAACTTCATCACATTTAGGATCGACGAATACAAAATAATAGTTTATCTATGGTATCCTCCAGTCACCTGTTGGCACTGCCATCATCGGTCTACATGAACTTTAGACTAAGGCCTTTGTTCGGCAAACAATAAGACCTGCCTTTACAATCTTTGGGTGGAGGACATTTTTATCTTTTGAGCCACTGAAAACTACCTTGAGTTTTGGGTTCGGCTAGCGTTTATTAGTGTTACCGAAGAAGAGAAATTTCCTTAGTTACTCTTTTTCCGATTAACCACCTAGTATTGGATATAGTAACTGCAGCAATGAATCATTGGTCTAAATTACAAGGGTAAGGAATGCGTACATCTTTGTTCTTGACCTCCGGACTCCAATGGAGTTCGGATTATATTGGTTTTTTTCTTGTTGTTGAAGTGCTAAAAAAGTGAAGTTCTCACAGTACTTGGATCAGCTCAAAATGATCAGTTGAATTGATCTTATGAACTCTATTTTGATACCAATTATTGTTCCAAATTTACCAGTATCATGAGAATTTAGGGCTAAGTTGCATGTCATCTCATTTTGTTGTTGTGCTTATCATTTACTTCTTTTGTCACACAGAGAGTATACTTCAATGGGTCTACAATATTTTAAGTTATTTTTTTAAATTATAAATAACACAGAATACATAATGTCTCAAAATTTACATAATCCTTATCCTGTTATAACTCTTGAAAATCATAAAGCTCCATTTGGTACAGGGAATTCAAATTATGGAATAGGAATTGTAGACAACTATTCTAGTTCTGTTATTGGGTAGTACAAAAATATGTGAATTTGGAATTGGTAGTGTCAAAAATGAATTAGAATTGGAGATTTTAATTCCATCCAAATCAATTCTATAGAATTTCAACTCTGAATTAATATCAATTCCGTCAATTCTGTGTACCAAATAGACCCTAACACTAACAAAAGCTGGGGCCTTTGCATTGTGTTCAGGGATATATGCTAATGGAAGAATTTCCGGCTTCTGGAATTTGAAGAAGCTGGGTTCGCTGAAGCTGCTGCGCTAGAATGGGGAATTAGCTTGGCAAACGAGTTTGTTAGTTGAGTAGTAGGTATTTTTTTTTAGAAATTGACCTGCATTTAAAATGGGGAATTTTTTTTTGTCATTGATGAATATTTGTACACATTTTAGAAATTGACCTGCATTTAAAATGGGGAAGAAAATGGGTGGTTAGGTTTAACTTGTTAAAGAAAACACTCATTTGTCTCAATATAAAAGATGCAATTAGTAGTGGTAGGGTAAAGTTATATACTCCCTCACTCTCATAAAACATTTTTCATATTTTTTTTTGGTCTTCATACAAAAAATTTCTTTATTTCCTATTTTGGTAGTGAATAGGTGGTTCAAAATGATTCTCTATCATCTATATAAGTTTTTATCATATACTGTTCGAAAATCGTTAGGAGGATGAACGCTGCGAAGCAGCGTTGACAGAAAGATTATAAGAAGAAATAGGCGCATTATTTGATAGTTTAACGAATCGCATAAATGTTTTCAAATCAAAGTTATTTCGGGCATACCAAAATACTTTAATCGGATAAGACTTTAATCAAGAACTTGCACTAAGAATTCATTTTCTCAACCATATCAGCGACTCTTTTATAGAGTCAGAAAAATGGGAGATCAGGCATGAACATTCGCGTAAAGAGTTTTCTGCGGTTTAGAGTCGATTTTGACGATTTATCCAAACGTCCGAATCTTAAGGTTTTGGACTCCGTTCACGAAATTTGAAGGATTTTAATAAAGTAATAATGTCTAAAAAAAATTTCCAATCTGTCCTGGTTGACCCCAACTAGGGGCTCTGCCCCTTGGACCCCGCCAGGAGTTGCCACCCCTTGGTCCCTGCTACTAGGGGTTGCCGTCCCCAGACTTCCGCTATAAATTTGTAATATCGTTGAACGAGTGCGCACTCCGCACCTCTTTACTCATTAGACATTGTTTATTCAAATTCTTGTCTGATCTAACTAAATTCAATCACACAGAAATAGTCGATAACACTAAAATCCCTAACATATACTATGCATTTTTTACTTGTCAACAGTTTTCTTAAATTTCGTTATAAGTCAAATTGCAAGATGTTTTATGAGATAAGTATTTCTTTCATCTCACTTAGTTTTTGGCAAAATAAGGTTTTACGTTGCTTGAAGAGAAAAATAATGATTTATGATGTAAATAATCAAATAGAACGAAACGTCACATTTACACTTTACATCGTGCCAAATCCAAATCTTATTAAGACACATGTAAAGAGTGATTGTTATTTTCTTTTTTTTTCGTTTTTTTTGACGAATTGCTTTACTAGAGAGTGTAAAGAGTCATCCGAACATCATATGTTTCAACCACATTTTAACGTGCTGATCACCTTCTAACCACAACGTTAGAGATTTTTTGTTACATGCTTCAACTTGAATAGGATCTCTAGGATATTTTAAAGTTGCAAAGGAGTGTATTCTTTTTTTAAAAAAATATACAGAGTATTTCATTTTTTCTAAAATTATCATCTTAATTTGACTTTTGTGATCTCCTTGACCATAAATTAAATGCAATTCTAGACTTAACTATATATACATACGGAAAGATTTAAAACGTACGTTTATTTTAATCCAATGCATATAAATGATGTACGGAGTATGATACTTGTGCTTATATTTAAAGTATTTGTTTATAATATATGAAAATTGGAATTTTATTCGAATGGAAAATCCAATTTAGATATGAGTTTGAATTTAATTTAGTCGAATATAAATCATTGTTTTTATTATTACAAACTATAAATCGGGTCGAATATTTTGATGTGTATGCATCCTTATCCGCGACCTTAGCTTCTTTTGTATTTTGTTAATGCTATTGGCTCTATTACAAGATAGTATTTGTTCATACTATTATCAACCTAAAGACGCACAAAGAGTCAATGTTTCGTCTCCACTGGGCTTGAACTTGGCTGAACTTCCCCATGAATCCGGTGGAGTGGGCTTACTATTCTTTTGTACTTTTAACTATGAAGCCAATAAAAATAGTTTATGGTGTCTAGGACGACCGTGAGACAAGGGAACTACAAAAAAGCTAAATTTATCCAAGTTTGGCATCAATAATTTGACATCAAGTCTTTCACAAACATGCACAAAGAATGATTGTCTAGGCATCATAGACAATGACTTTTATAATATCTGCGAAGCACTTAGCCGCTGTCTTTTTGGTTGAAATTTTAGAGTTGAATGTTAAAGAAACTGAAAGGTGTTGGAAGAAACTGGAAAAAGTTTAAAAAAACACTTGAAGGAGTTAGAAAATGTTGGAATGATTAAAATGTAAAATAGTCACTCAATTATATGATCACCAAAATAAATATGGAGTATGTAAGAAAGTTATAATTTTGGATGAAAAAGAATTCGTCCTTTTCTGTGTTTGAGGTGATATATTATAAATTTGGATATATAATGTTATTATATATTCATCATATATAAATACTATTTTTAAGTCGTTGGAAAAAACAAGGAGTTGCAAAACGTTAGAAGTTAATTTTTTCATGCCAAAAAAACAAGGCCTTACTGTCAAATTCTTGGTGTCAAATTTGATGGGTTCAAACATGACTCATTGAACTATAACACATGAAATCTATACACTATTTTCTTTGTCTATTTTGATTCTTCTCATTTTGAGTAAGTGAAATTTGCACCCAAATACAATTAAAAGATATGTCATTTTCCAATGTAGTACTTAAACTTTTTTATTTTCTAAATAGTACTAGAATAATGTCTATTGGAGAGAACAGTGTCCAGTGATGCTAGACATTGAGTTTGAACAATGTCTAGGGCGGTGGACATTTACTTGAACAGTCACTAGTGGACAATAACTAGAAATACTACATTGGAAAAGTAATTATGTTTTAGTACTGTTTAGATAAAATTCCCTTTCAATAATAGTGACACACTTTTTTATGTAAGATGAAAACGTAATTAATTTTTTATTTTTGCTCTCCAAACAAAATCACCTTCTATGTACTTTTAACTCGTTGTTCTTCAGTTCTACGTTCTTTTCTTCCCTCGTTTATTCCAACTATAAGGACTTTTTTAGCGTTTTGAAAATTTATTTTTGAGTAAGACTCTTTTTTAAATATTTCAATTTTTTAATTTTGTTTTTCCATACTTTTATTTTTATTTTTTATTCTGGATTTTCTTTATGAACTTACCAAAACATTATTCTTAAAAAAAGTGAAAATGTTTAATTTGAGCTAGATGGAGTAGATGTTAATTTTTGTAGTTTTATTTTTATTTCAAACACAAAGAGTTTTGAATTTCTTAAAATATACTTAAAATGAAAATAAATTTAAAAAATTTTCTAGGAAAAGGAAACAAATAGATTAAAAAAGGAAAAAAATAATAAACGAAAAATAAGAAATGAGCACAAGTGCCCCCTATGGTTAACAAAACAGGCACTAATACGTCCTATTTGCTGAAAAATGATTGAAAAATGATCAGAAGAGGTGTTGGTGCAACGTTTTGAAAACACGAAGACTTTAAAAATAAGTTTTGAAAACAGAGGGGGTATTGGAGCCAATTTTTCAAACCACAGGCGGCACTGAGCTATTTGGCCTTATGATAACACTCTTTATGAAGTCTTTCAGAGTGGTAGATTTATACACAGTGCGAGCAAACGACCAACATATGTAAAAAAAAATTCCATTCCTGAGAGTGTAAGTCAGATAATTTTTTCCTTGCAGTGCAATACAGAGTAGCCAACTCCGTTTCTACTCGAAAATTTTAAACCATACGGAGTAGCAAACTCCGTCTCAATTTATTTATTAAATTTTCAATGCCATAAGGAGTAGCTAACCCCGTTTCTATCGAAATTAATTTCAGACGGAGTACTCTACTCCGTCTCCTTATCCAATACTTTCCGTTCAACCCTTGGCCTCCATCCACTCATTCCAATTTCAAGAACAGCAGCGCCGAAAACAAAAAAAAGAAATTTCGAGGAAGAGAGGGGAACCTCCAGAAGAAAGAGGGGAACTGCCGTCCGCCGGAAGAAGACAATTCGGACTACCCTACTTCGTTTCATGGAGGTATTTTTATTTTTTACTTAGTTGATATAAATATTTATCATTTTATGATAATATTGAGATACATATAGTTTATTTTATAAAATTGCATAAATCATACTCCGTATACGATTTATACCAAGTTCATGAATTTTTTTATTGTAATTCATATATATTATTAGTTTGTAAGACTTTGAATTTGATTCTTTAAATATTCATAAAAATTTGGTAATTTTTTTATTTTGAGATTGTAAGATAATTTTTAACGTAATTAGTTACTTAATGAGTTTGTTTATTATAATTGTCTAGTTGTGTGGTTTTATTAAATGAATAAATTGTTAGGTTATAATGTTTGAAGCAAATGAATTGTTATTAAATGAATAAATTGTTATGTTGCAATCTTTGAAGCAAATGGATGTTCATCTGGGACCTATTTCAAGAGACGTTTTAGTTATTCAAGGCGGAGAACATAGGTGTGATGCGGTATGGGCGGACGAAGAATATGCCAAAGTGATCTTAAAGTGTCATATGACTTGTTCTAGTTTATGTACAAGGACTCTTGTTGCTAATAGACCACCTCGTGTAATAGAGATTTTACAAGATTATGGATTTTATGTGGTGGAGAAAGTGGGTGGATTACAGTTAGATTGGGCTTTGATACTTCTTTAGTGGAGAGATGGAGACCCGAACCCATTCATTCCATCTTCCCTTTGGAGAGGTTGGAATTACGCTGCAAGATGTTGAGGTTTTACTTGGATTGCCCGTAGATGACATTCCATTGGCGGGGATCACTGGTCGATCAAAGGATCACTGGATTCAGATATGTGATGACATGATGGGATTTAGACCTGAAGCATCTGATATTACGTCTTCTATGATTAAGATATCTGCAATTGTTCCGAAGGCGTTGACAGATCATAGTGTAGATGTTGATTACCTACAACATGCCAGAGCTATTATGTTTAAGTTGTTGGGTGGCAGCTTATTTCCCAACACGACGGGAAATAAAGTTAGTTTGTATCTGTTGGAGGTGATCATGGGTGACTCTGTGGTGGTGCGGGGTCGTGCCATTGGTGTTGCAGTTCTTAGTTTCTTGTATCGTAGTATGTGTCGTGCTACCATGACACATGTAGCACAGATTGGAGGGTGTCTTGTCCTGTTACAGCTTTCGTCATGGGAACGTCTGCCTATGACTAGACCTAGGGGCGTTGTACCATTGGAGCAGCTGGTTAATGTCCCATATGGAGTCAGGTATTTACAAATTTTTATGTTTATCATGCATTCACTCAGTTTATATTATTCATGTTAATGTTTAATCCTCCACTTGTAGATGGGTGTGTTATCATCGGTGGTCAGATTGTACGACACACTCCTTACGAGCATACAGGGACCAGCTAGATAGGTTGCTCGAGGGAGAGGTAAGTACTAAGAACATCACAATGTTATTCATACATATTTTATTTTAAATGTCTATCGTATTACTTCTTTATGTATCTTTATGTATGCAGTTTGTTTGGATGCCGTATCCAAATCTCGATACCCTACCACCCTTTTGTTCAGCCACACTCCAAATATGGATCTCACGCATCCCTTTGATCTATAGCTATATTGTGAAGATGTACTATCCAGATTTGTTTTGCAGACAGTTTGGTGCCCTCCAACGCGTTCCTCTCGATGTTGTGTATGATCGACACCTACATAACATTAAGTCGAACACTATGAAGCTCGGTGACAATGAGAGACATTATTTAGATGTATGAGAGGGACGTTACGCTGCACATGTACCGATGGAATTTGGGATGCCAGATGCCACACCTGAGTATCATCAGTGGTATTACCTCCAAGGTCGAAGACAGATAGCAAACCCTGCACATCAGCACGGGACAGGCTACGTCCCCATTTCTCCTGAGCTACAGACCGCAGTATGTATTACTTATATTCAATTGTTTTGTTGTAAATTTGTATGGGACTAATTATGGTATTGTGTGTAGCTATCTTGTATGGTGGATTGCCATCAGCGCCTTGATCGAGGTAGGCACCCGGATGGTTTTGTACCTTCTCATGAGGTAGTGCGAGTTCATGACTTGTTAGAGGAGTGTATACGTGCTCTTGGACATACATCTATCCTCGATCATCCACAGGAGCAGCCAGTCTACAATCTAGGACATATTCGGAGAAGGGCAGATAGAAGGCGCGATGCACCTGCTGTAGGGGTTAAGCGTGGCGAGCAGGGTCAGCGCAGGTTGCAAGTCGACAGAGAAGATGCTCATACCCCCGTCCAATCTCCCTGTATGTCCCAGAACGAGGATGCCACTGAAGAGGACTATGTTGAGAGCAATACCCACACACCCACTTGAACCGGTGAGGCATTCGCTTCATATACTCCACGATTCGAGATTCCAGCTCCTCCTCAGCGCATGTACCATACGTCACCAGTTAGGTTTGATGGAGATCATATTTTTACTCAAGAAAGTAATATCACGGATGAGTTTGGGCAATATCTCTCCAGCACTACACCATGGGTTATCCCTGAGACGTTCGGTAACGTTGAAGTGGAGGAGGAACGAGATCAGGATCTTCGTCTACGACGCACTTGACGTGGGACCCGATGTGGTACCGGTAGCCATTATGTTTAGTATTTTCCTTTTGTTTAATATATTTTATTTCGATTATGTATGTAAACTTTACTTGTTTATTTCGGTAATGTATGCAAACAATTTGCCGGTAGCCAATATCTTTCGTATTTTCCTTTTGTTTTATGGCATTTTATAGTCCCACCTGCCCATTTATTCCCCCTCCCAATTAACTTCCCTTTTCCACTCCAACCTAACTATTTATTCCCCCTCCCAACTAACCACCCTTTCCCACTCCCACCTAACCATTTATTCCCCCTCTCAACTAACCACCCTTTCCCACTCCCACCTAACCATTTATTCCCCTTCCCAACTAACCACCCTTTCCCACTCCCACCTAACCATTTATTCCCCTTCCCAACTAACCACCCTTTCCCACTCCCACCTAACCATTTATTCCCCCTCCCAACTAACCACACTTTCCCACTCCCACCTAACTACATATTCCTACTCCCACTCTACATCTTATAAATACCACCCAATATCTCCGTTTCGAACACAGCATCACCATTATTCTACACACCAAAATAAACAATGTCAGAAGACAAGCGTATACTTCTTGTAGCTCATTGGAATGGTGAGATACAAGTTGTAAATAGTGAAGTTCAATACTCTAAGCTTCCGAAGAAGTCTTTGTTGTTAAATTCTAATATATCTTACAACACCTTTCTTGGTCAAATAAGTAGTGATGTAATTCAAGACGGATTCCAAGGCGTTGAATCTATCTACGGTAAATTCCCTAGACATCAATCAGGGGTTTATGTTGGTTCACGACCTCTCCCAATCAACGATGAACCAACTTGGCGGCATTTTAAACGAAAAGCATCACGAATACGATGCAAGTGAAGTATTCATCAGAGTGTCTAAATGTAACGCCCCAAAATCCGACTTGGTATTTTTAATTAAATTATATAATTAATTCTTATATTAAAAGCAGGAGGGGGTTACACAAAAACACATTCACTCTTCCTCGTACGTTTCCGTCGGTCCCTCTGCGCTCCACTTCCGTTCGTCGTTCCGCCAGCCAGGGAGAGAGATGCCGCTGCCGAGCCGCCTGAACGCCGCCGTTGATGCCCGCCCCTCCTTCCCCGTCGCACAGTATATTCGGTCGCAACAGAGAGTGCAGCGGCGAGCATCCCTCTTTCTATTTGGTTTCTAATTCTTCAATAATTCGAGGTGATTCATGATTCCTATAACTATAGTTGGCATTAATTCATAGTTTAGGATCTTGTGGTATCAATTTTGTCTTTGATTGTGAAATTTGTGGTTGATTGTGCATTAGATTGGATTGGGGGTGTGTTGGGGGGCTGTTTTCCGGCGATTGGTCGGTGGTGGCTACAGGCGACGTACGAGCAGTTTCCGGCGGGTCCAATTTGGAACCCATTTGGTTTGATTTAGACCCAATTGGTTTAATCGGGTCAATTCGGGTTCAATTGGGTTAGCTCTTGTTCAATCGGGTTTCAATTGGGATTGATTTTTGTGCAAACGGGTCGGTTTGGATTCGATTGGGGGCTGTCCGGGCAATTGGGGCTGACGGGGTTGTTCGGCCGACTGTCCGGGCTGCTGGGCCAGCGGGTCCGGCTGTTAGGCCGGCTGTGTTGGGCCGTTGAGCCGGCAGAGTTAGGCCGGTTGATTGGGGCTGCCTGAACGGGCAGCGGGTTGGGGCTACCAGGGCGGTGGTCATTGATACTGCTCCGGTAGGGGCAGCAAGCCCGAGGATCGATTCATTGGTCACGACTCCGCGCAGGTAAGTTGGGTTAATTGTAATTCGGGTTGTTTGATTATGCATGCCGGTAATCGCGGGTTTTTGGCCCGGATAGGCCGTTACTTGTTGTGATTTGTGAACTGAGATTTAAATTAAATTGATCTTATTGGTGAATATTGTGGATTATGAATGATATATGGGAAATATGCCACCTAGTATAATTAGGCGGGCCTGAATTGGATTGACCGATTGAATCACCAATAGGATATGGTTAGGAAGTTGGCCATTGCGGGGCGTCGTCACACCCCTGGTGGTCTTGGGTTAAAAACGTACGTACGGAAGTCCGCGACCTGTCCTGGCATCGCAGGGACATGGGCTTCAACCCGCTCAAAGTGAATCTCCTTTGGGTTTCTGAGCTGGCCCTTTTATAACATCGCTTGGGGTGCCATGACTCAAAGTAGTTGATGTGGAATAAAATAAGAGCATGATGTTCAAATGGAAGGTGTTAATATAAATATGTTTATTTAATCTATTTTTCTCCGTGACCACATGCTGTTGTTGATTGTATGTTAATGTGGTGCTATTCTGTGAGTTAATGCTAGCTTAGGTATATTTTCACTCAGCGTTTCGCTGAGCGTGTAGTCATTGTTGTTTGTGTAACGCCCTACAACCCGGTCTATTAGAATTGATTAATTTAATTAATTAATTACTGTTCCGGACCGGGGTTGGAAAAATGAAAAGTTCTTAGAAAAATTATTTGATCATATCATTAAATTCGTCTTGACTGTCTGATTCCAGAAACGCAAATGGATTTCAATTCGGACCCGTTCGGGGGAAAAAGCGCGTACCGTTCAGGTCAGATTTTTACAATACGGAGTAAATAAGTTTTGTAACCTCCCTAGACCCTTGGTTCGGCTCCTTCAACACCCCCATCATTTCCAATTAATAGTCTCCTTAATCCACCATTAAAACCCCATCATTTCCTCTCCCTTCACACCCCATTTTGTAACCCCCAAGTATTCACAATCTCCACTCTCTCTCACTCTCTCATTTTCGGCCAAGGCAAACAGCAGCTCAGGGATCTCCGGTGAAGCTCCGGTGGGTGCAAGGTTGAAGGAGAAGAAGAGCTAGGCCTTCGTGCGAAGCGTGGTCGTCGTTTGCCCGTTCGTTAGCACCATTCGTTCATCTCGTTCCATCAATCCCTTCATTTAGAGGTGAGTAGTTGTCCCTCTAATTCTAGAACATTTAGTTATAATCTATGTCGCTATATTCATAGGAATATCGTACGCAACCTACGTAGAATCTATGCATGTTCGTAGGTTAACCATCAAACATACGAGAGTCCGTGTAATCAAGTTACGAACTCGTTAATACAAGCATTTTGAAACTCCGTATATTCATGGAATACTTAACATGTAATCATAAACGTTCGTTCAAAGAAAACTCCCAACGTATTGATGATAACCAAATAGTCAAAATGGGAATCAGCGTGCCTTGATAATCGATTTACAGAACGGAGTAATCGACTATCAGGTCACGCTGAACTCCTCAGTTGATCCAGCATAGTGTGACAATCGATTATCACATAAGTGGTAATCGATTATCAGACCCTGCGGATTCTTGAGTCAGAGCTGGTTCACTTGACAATCGATTATCCCAGAGCAATAGTCGATTATCAGGTCTCTCTGAACTTAGGACTTTCCTGATAAACCAACTTGACAATCGATTGTCATAGGGTGACAATCGACTATCACAGCCTGCAGGACTTTGGGGTCAGAAGCTGCACAGCATGATAATCGATTATCAACAGCAGATAATCGATTATCAGCCAGTTCTGAACCCAGGGCCATCATGTTGAACAAATCATACTCAAGCACATATGAAAGAATTGAATATTCTTTAATCAATGCATTCATTCCAACATGTTCGTTCTAGACGGATGTTCTAGGTTTCCCTCATATGCATACCGCTGTAGGGAGGACTTCAAGCGCCTACTACAGTGGGCCCGTCCAGGAACCTTTGGGGACCAGCGGGTTTCCATCATGTTGGGCTTGTGTACGTACATAGTAGTCAGGTTACGGCTACTACCCGGTTTTGCTAGTCCACTCGCGATGTTTTCATCGTGCCCGGCTCGTTACCGTTCGGGGACGACGGCCGGAGTGCAGGGGTGATCCTGTCGAGTGAGACTAAGTCAGGGGTGTCCCTGATAGTTTAAGTCATGCATCAAGTCATATCATCATCATGTATATTCCTTGTTATTCGAAACAGCTTTAACAGGTGAAAACTAAACAGTTAGTAACGTGTGGTGTCCCGTACGTTAAGTACAGGTATTGATATGGGTATAGCCATATGGGTTATCACTTCATGTTCTTTTGTTAGATTCACTCCTCAGCATTTGCTGAGCGTGTAGTTGTTTTTGCTGCACGCAGGTAGACATGACGGAGCAGGTGCCAACCCTGGAGAGCGGTGACGATGGGGAGATGGGCGGCGTGCGGACGAACTCTTAATTACTTTCAACAATTTCATTAATCAATTGGGCGTGAACCCACCCTTGTCGTTATTTAGTTTGGACTGAACTTATTTAATTACTTCCGCAAGTACTCTGCACTTTCATTACACACGTTTTGGGAGTAACTCCCTGGCATTTATTCCTCTAATTAAAACCCAACCGTTTTCTTATTAAATAATCATTGATGTTTTCGTAACGGATGGTTCTTGGACTGTCCATGTAACCCTACCGGTCCGTTGGGTCACGGGTGAACCGGGTCCACGGAAGGCGGGTGTTACAGTTTGACTGCACGCAGGTACGAACACAGACTTGGATGGGCAACCCGGAGGGCAGTGATGCGGTGGTGTGGCGTGGATGGCTCTTGTTTACTTTAATAATTAAACTACATTATTTTAATTGATTATATGGACTGTTGGATGCTACTTTGGTTTTCTTATGCTTTCGCGACGTTTGGACTTGTTTTATTACTCCAATGAATTTTGGTATAGTTTTAAACCCTTTGGATGAATCTTTACAATTTATTTAATTGTTTAATTTTTTTTCTCCAAAAAAAATTATGCATGCGAATACCAATTTAGTAACAACCCAGTTCGCTAACCCGTTGGTTCGGGTTACGCGGGTTGGGGTGTTACATTTTGGTATCAGAGCATGTGGTTTTAAACACGATTTTTGGGCCACGAATGGTCAGATAATTAATTTAAGTGTTAAGAGCGATAGTAAATTTATCAAATCGAACGAATAAATAAATTCACATATAACGTTACTTTTTGTTTATAAAAAAATGTTATCAATTTCAAAAAAAATATAATGTTACGAATTTTGAAAAAAAAACTGTTAGTTTAACACATATTGTATATATACATGTGTCGAGCATCCACAACTAAACTGCGTCACTGTTCTGGGAGATAATTTCTTAAGTACTTGTTTGTTAATTGTTGCTTAATTTAGTAAAATCATAAATTGTAGAATGGACCTGACCGCGAACCTCAACGATAACCACTCCGAGGGAGATTGTAACGCCCCGGAAATAGGCCTATCAGTATTAATTAATTGATAATTAATTAATTACTGAGAAGGACCCAAAAATAAATAAATTCTAAAGTTTGTCAATAATTAATAAAAATTATATCGTTGTGTAGAGTTTGACTGTCTGACCCCAACGGTTCAATCGGATTTCAAATTGGAGAAAGTTGAACCAAAAAGTGTACCCCAACTAGGACTAAACTTAGTCCTAATCAGAGGACACACCAAACGGCGCCCTGTTCAATTACGCCGATTCCAAAAATACGAATCAGCTCAATCAAGGAACTCCTGTGTCTTCTTCTTCTTCACTGGCCTATTTAAAGAGAGCCAATTCTCCCATTTCTCCACCAAAGTCTATAATTCTTCATCCTATTCTGTTGTTCTGAGAGAGGAGAATACACTGGTGTTGACAGCTCTGTGAGAAGTCGCCGGAGCAGTGAGAAAGAGTCGCCGGAAATTTCACCGGAAAATCTTCAAAACCTCCCCTACGCTTTGAGGTAAGCCCTTAGATATATCTAATGACTAGAATGTTCATATAGGTCGTTTCTACGTTCATAAATGGTCATTTGGTTGAGTTTTTGTGTTTGACATGCTTAAGAACCAAGAATCATAAACCTTGAATTTAATGTTAAAAATATGTTTAAAAGATTCCAAAATGATCTATGAACCTTGGAGAACATTTCTATATAATTTAATTGAAGTTTGGTAATTAAAAATGATAATACTCGAAACTGACCAGAGGAAGAAGATGATGAACAGTAGCCGAAAATCGATTATTTACTCCTAAGAATCGATTAGAAC